TGTCACATTCGGACAGTCCACTGTTGCTCAGCTCTGTTCCAAAAATCTGCAGAACAAGCTATAGTCGATTTTTAAGTTGATAGTCGACTATTCATCGTCTTCTACATCGAGTCAACTTGCGGAAATGTCATTTTTACTCTCCAAACTCCAATTAAAGTATATAAAAATGTTTTCCAAGGTTCATAGATCATTTTGGCATCATTAATTCATAGTTTTAACATCAAAATCATGGTTTGTGATTCTTAGTTCTTCAAGCATGTCAAACACAAAACTCAACCAAATGACGATTTATGAACGTAGAAATGACATATATGAACATTCTAGTCATTAGATATATCTACGGGCTTACTTCGAAGTTGAACGATGATTCCGGCGATTTAACGGCGAAACTTTCGGCGAACACCACGGCTTGCTCCGGCGACTTCTCACCAAATTGACAGCATCATTGAAATCTCCACACTCAGAGGAACATATTAGGAAGAAGAATTTCATGAATTGGTAGAGAAATGAAGGAGAAGAGGGATGCTTTATATAGTGAAGAATTTAGAGAAAATGACAATGTGGGTTGCTGTTTGTGATCCTTCGTTCGGCGTAGTGGGATTGGCTGCGATATGTTCTGATTTCGTACGCCACTCCCTTATTGGGACCAATTTTGGTTCTAATCGGGATATACTTTTTGGTCCAACTTTCTCCGAATTGAAATTCGTTTGCACCGTTGCGATCAGACAGTTAAGCTTTATCCAATGACATAACTTTCATGATTATTTGTAATACTTTTTTCGACATCATATTTTTGGGTGTTTGACTTTGACAGAGTCAAAATTTATTTAGTTGACCTTTATTCAAAAAGGTTCTCTCATTTCATTCATGTTATTTACTCTCATGATTTATTTGAATAAATAATTTCAGAGTTCACATCACAAGTCAATTTTTTAATTTATTCTTGATCTGGGTATGTACTCAGGTTCCCAATCAAGATCACATAATAAGTCAACATATGGAATTTATCTCTTTGAGATTTATCCAGATTGTGATATTGGACTTTAGAACTTATTTCATATCGAGCTCAAAGCCCAATAATAATTTATTTTAATCAAAACAAATTTGTTTAATTGAATATTTAATTCAATAAATTTTAGGGTATATTTTGGGGCGTTACAAGATCTTTTCCTTTTGTTTTGACAAAAAGTGTGGAATCGATCTTTCCTTTTGCAAATCCATGTGAGATGAGATGTTCGGTAAGCCGCTCAAAACCAAGCTCTAGGAGCTTGTTTGAGTCCATAAAGGGCCTTATGAAGTTAAAAAACATGATTTGGAAAATCAGGATTTTCAAAACCAGGAGGTTGTTCAACATAAACTTCTTCTTTTAACCATCCATTGAGAAAAGCACTTTTAACATCCATTTGAAAAAGTTTGAAATTAAGAGCACTTGCAGAAGCTAATAACATACGAATAGATTCAAGCCTAGCAACCGGAGGAAAAGTTTCATCATAGTCAAGTCCTTCAACTTGGCTATAGCCTTTAGCAACAAGTCGACTTTTATTAGTGATAATAACACCATTTTCATCAAGCTTGTTTCTAAAGACCCATCTAGTGCCCACAACGGGTCGGTTTTCCGGTCTTTCCACTAGTTCCCAAACATTGTTGCGTTCAAATTGCTCAAGCTCTAGTTGCATGGATATAATCCAATCACTATCTTTTAGTGCATCTTCTACGTTCTTAGGTTCAAATTGACTAACGAACGCATAGTGTGCACAAAGATTGTAATTGTTTTTAGTTCTAACTCCCTTTTCAATATCTCCAATGATATTGTGTTACACCCATATCCGTATAACCCGGAATTACACGAATTAAGGTGAAAAGAGGGTTAATTAAAAATTTCGTTTGACATTTGAAAATGACAATCACTTATAAATATGAAATTTACAGACTTTGGATTGCGACCCATTTAAAAATATTTTCAGAGTAATGCGGAAGTACAATAATAATTAAATCATGACACATTTAAATTCTTTGATGATCAAACATTTGCCTGTCATCCTTGCATCTCCTCTGACTCAATGCCCTCCGGGAGTGGTTTCGTCATTGTCCTCTTGTTACCTACGTGTAGTCAACGAAAAATACAAACTACACGCTCAGCGAAACCGCTGAGTGGTACCACGCTAGAATTGTAGAATAATTCATAGACATAGACATATACATATATACATACATACATACATATATATATATATATATATATATATATATATATATACACACATAGATATATATATATATATATATATATATATATATATATGTCCACAAAAATGTATAATAATATTCATGATATGGCACATTATATCATATGGTCAATTTGATGAATCATGATGATAAATATTTACTGTTAATTACATGATGGCACATTTAATCAATTTGCTTGTTCGTGAGGATGATTACATGACACCTATGTATTCAATATAATTGTTCTTGATGATGATTACATGAAACCTATGTAATCAATATATTTGTTCTTGATGATGATTACATGACACCTATGTAATCAATGTACTTGATGATGATAACATGATTTCACATTTAATCAATTTGATTGTTCTTGATGATGATTACATGACACCTATGTAATCAATGTACTTGATGATGATAACATGATGCATGAACCTATAACCCGCAAGGAACGACCTTGCCCTATGAGATTCGCCCATTTGGTATGACGAACTCATGCCACCTTAGTCTCACGAATGAGGTGAGACTAGAAAAATAGGGGTGGTACTCGAAAGCCTGAGTACCATGTACGTACACTAAGCCCGGTCAGTGATGTCGTACTGCTAAGTCCCGCACAATCACGCTATAAGAGACGCACGAGGCATGATCTCTTACGGATGCATATGATGTGATATGCTTCAATAGGAATAATGAAATGAATGATATGATGTGAACAATTTTCAAACAATATGAATATATAATCATGCATAAGTTTACTTGGTTGAAACATAATTAAAATATCATTTAATCAAGCTACTGGGCTCGGAACGGTCGACCGTTTGGCACGGCGGTCGACCTTGATCTTCACTTTGTCGGAACGGCGGATCACCGTGACGGTCGACCGTGGTTGACCGGCGGTCGACCGTTCTGCTGACAGTCGTGGTCTGTTTCGAAGTTTAATACGACGGTCGACCGTTTGCGTCGACCGTTTGGGTCTGCGAATCTTTCTCTTGATATTTTGAGTGTCCAAAATACTTCTTTAAGTCTTTTAAAAACCTTTGATTTACATATACATGTTGTTGGGTTGATTTCAAATGTTTATATATACTTATGTATATATATTAACTTTATGGATTTGGTGTATTTTGATCTCAACATATAGATGACCTATATATGTATCACATATATATTTTGGAATGATTTCAACATATGGATTAATATATATGTTCATGTATGTATGTGATGAATGATTCGACAAGTCTAACGCAAGGATACAGACCTAGAAATCATCGGCCGAAACCTTACGGATGAGAGAGAGTGGAAACAACATCGAAATTCACCAACTTTGTCATTCTCGTCACAATCGGACAGCCTGCCGTATTTTAGGCATATCTCCATCGTTTCTTCACGGAATTGCAAATCGTTTGATTCTGTGGATTCCTAAGATGTAAGGCTATACCTTTCGTATAGAAAGTATTTCGATTTAACATATGTAAGATAGAGTAAATCGGACCTGAAGTCAAGGGATAGTTGCTGTCCAGCATTTCGGATATGTCGATGAACAACGATTCCGACGATTAACTCATTAACTTCAATATTCCAACACCGAACCTTCTCTACGATACCTTCCGGATGTTCCTAATAATCGTTAGAGAGTTTATGGTAAGTGTTTGGAATGAAACAATATGAATTTGGTGAAGAAAATGGTCCAACCCGAGGAGCTCGCCACCACTGGCGCAGTCCCGGTATTTTGGCCATATCTCCTTCGTTACTTAATGAAATCGCAAGCCGTTTGTTGGGATGGATTCGTATCGTCCAGGGCTACAACTTTGGCTCAGAAAGTATTTAATGGATGGAAAATTTCAGATTTTACCTAGAAGTGGGCTGCTGTGTTTGGTTTCAGGATTTTGGACACTTGAATGGTTTCCTTGCTTCTTCTTCTTCTTCCTTAGCACAAAAATGGAGTATTGTTGCTATGTTTTCTCCTCCTTTGATTGCCGACAGAGAGAGAGTGTGGTGAGGAGGAGAAATGATGGATGGATGATGGTGATGATTTTTGATGATGATTATGGTGGTGGTGGATGTTGAGGATGGTGATATAAAGAAAGGAGTAGAGTAGGTTGGTGGAGGCTAGTGGAGAAAATGGGGAAGCTACGGAGATTCTAGGAGATTTGAGAATTAAGTTTTGGCTTTTAGCCAAAACTTAACAGTTTACTCTAAACGGTACACACTTTTTCGCCCAAACTGTTCTAAATGGAAAATGGATTGCGTTTTTGGAATCAGTCTGTCAAAACTAGAATTTTGACATAATCAAAATATTTTTCTGCGAACTTTTATTTTTATCACTGTTCAGGTCTGTCTCAGTCATAAATTAATTTAACAATATGAATGAGATAAAAATATATGAATTCAATCCAATGATTAATATGATGTTGTCAAGTGTAAAATATTAAGATTTTTAATATTATGAAATCACTTTTGAATTGAGTTTATTTTATGGGTCAAAGTTACAAATTTTAATATTTAAAATTGTCATAGCTTAAAATCTATAAATCAGATTGGTTCATAGAATGTACCGTTGGATTCGTCTCTTCGAGACATATCCATAAAAATAAGTTTTTAACAAAAAGTCTTTATTTTGAAAGTCCATTTATTTTTGGTCAAACGTAAAAATATTCTTTATTGGATCAAAATGATATTCAAAACTACTTTTGTTTTATAATAAATTTTAGGCCATATTTTGTGGCGTTACATATTGTCTCTCGGATGATTCTTCAAGTGTTTGTAAGCGTTTGGTAGTTCCTTCTTTTCATTTTCTTCTTCTTGTGCAGGAATTTCCAGGATTTCTTCTTCCTCTTCTTCTTCATTTGAACCTGCAATTACATTACTCGACCCAAAGGGATCGGTTTCATCAAATTTTACATGCATAGATTCTTCTACTTTATGATTTGATTTATTATATACTCTATAGGTTCTACTATTTTTTGAATAACCAAGGAAAATTCTTTCATTTGATTTAGGCTCAAATTTGCCTAAATTATCCTTGGTATTCAAAATATAGCATTTACACCCAAAAACTTTGAAATAGGAAATGTTTGGTTTTCTACCTTTCCAAAGTTCATAGGGAGTCTTTTTAATAATAGGTCTAAGTAATACCCAGTTAAGAACGTAGCATGCCGTGTTGACCGCTTCTCCCCAAAAATATTGAGGTAAGTTGTGTTCATTCAACATGGTCCTTGACATTTCTTGCAACGTCCTATTTTTCCTTTCAACGACTCCATTTTGTTGAGGTGCTCTAGGAGCCGAAAAGTTGTGAGAAATACCATGTTCATCACAATATGTCTCAAAATCGGTATTCCGGTATTCTCCACCTCTATCACTTTTAATAGAGGTTATTTCATAACCTTTCTCATTTTGGATTCTCTTGCACAACTTAACAAACGCATTAAACGCATCATCTTTATTGGCAAGTAATATAGTCCAAGTATAGCGAGAAAAATCATCTACAATTACAAACGTAAAACTAGCTCCACCTAGGCTTTGAACGTCTACGGGCCCAAATAAATCCATATGTAATAGTTCAAGTGGCCTTGACGTTAAAACCATTTTTATGGGCTTAAATGAAACTTTATGTTGTTTTCCAAGGGAGCAAGCATCACAAAAACGAGAAGTAGGTATGCTCATTTTTGGTAGCCCAACAACAAATTCTTTTGAGTAAAGTTTTCTCAAAAGATCATAACTAGCATGTCCTAGTCTACGATGCCATAATGTTGAAAATTCAAGTGAAGTAGTAAGACAAGTGATTTTTGAGTTGCTTAAGTCATTAGAATTGAACTTGTATAAGTTTCCATCTCTTTTAGCCTCAAAATGATTTCATCTTTATTTTGGCCATATAAAACTCAGGAATTTGCATTAAACTCAATTTTGTGGCCATTGTCACAAAGTTGGCTTATGCTAATTAAATTAAATTTTAGGCCATCAACAAGATAAACATCATTTATTGAAAAATCACTTGAAATACCTATCGTACCTTTACCGATGACTTTCTTCCGGGATTTGTCTCCAAGGGTCACATGTCCATGACTTTTCTCCTTGAGGTGTGTGAACCATCCTCTTGTTCTGGTCATGTGACTTAGGTTTGGGGTTCCAATCGATGAATACCCTATGTCGATATTCCCGTTTCGTCTTGGTTGGTTCCGGAAGTGGTATATGGACTTTTCGTTTTTCATCATAATAAAAGAAATAGTATCCACCATCATTTCTTTTATTTTCCTGCAAAAAGGTTTTCTTTTGATATCCAATATTCTTGGATTCCGACCGGTTAGAACCCTTCTTGACCCATTTTAATTTACGCATTTCAACTAACCATTTGTTTGGACATTTTGTCACAATATGGTTAGCTTGAATGCAATAATGGCAAGCCTTTACTTTTGATTTAGAAATTGAGGCTTGGTTTGATGGTTTAGTTTTTGAGGTATTAAAATGATTTTTAGCCATGCTCATCAAATTTGTGGTTTCACCATAACCAATGCCTTCTTTTGTTAGTTTTGGTTGGTCATCCCACATCTTCATTGAGCTATAGCTATCATAAAACATTTCCAAAGCCCCTCGCTTGGCCTTGTCTTTTTCTTTAATCAAAATTTCAATTTTCTTTTGAAATTCTTCATTTTGGTTTTGAAGTTTCTCAAGATTAAGTTTTAAATTTTTGTTTTCATCCCGAGAAGTTTCAAGAGCCACTTTGAGTTCCTTTTTCTCCCTAATGGTTCGAAAAAGGTCCTCTTGGCATTCATCAAATGCTTGACTTAACTCATCAAAAGTAATTTGACTTTCAAAAGAGGTAAATGAATTTTGAGAACTAACCTCTTCTTCATCATTGGAGGCCATGAAGGAAGCATTTGCGTTCTCTTCTTGGCTTTGGTCACTATCACTTTCTTCGGAGTTTAAATCGTCCCAAGTGACTTTTAGTGCCTTCTTCTTCCCCTTTTTAAGCTCTTCTTTCTTTTTGAGCATTGGGCACTCCGGTTTGATATGACCTACATTTCCACATTCATAGCAAGTTATTTGATTAGGTTTACCTTTCTTTGATGGAAATATTTTTGAGGATTCACCCTTGTTCCATTTCATAAACTTCTTGTATCTCTTGAACATGGCAAGCTCCTCATCACTTTCTCCTTCACTTTCCGAGCGGTCATCAACCTTGAGTGCCACGGTCTTCTTCACAATGGGAATCTGTTCTTCTTCCTTCATTTTCTTTAAAAGTAGCTCGTGAGAGTATAGGCTGCTCCAAATGGTGGAGGTTTCAACATCCGCACATTTGGGCAATAAGTTTACAACAAGACTATGCCACTTTCTAGAAAGAGAGAATATAATCTTGGTGTTAATCTCACTAGTAGGATAAACTTTATTTAGCTTACTCAAATTGTTGATGATGAGGTTGAATCTTTTGTTCATATCTTGAACGGACTCTCCGGCCTTCATCTTGAAG